ATAGCATTTTTTAAAGTGAATTTGTGGAAAAATTTGTGAACCGATTTTTATAAAATATATTTTAAAAGAAAGTTCGATAATTTAAGCATACGTGTTTAAAATTTTCCATTTGGTTCTCTCGTTTAGGTAYGGTGAGCCAAAATTAACCGGCGCGATACTAAACACAACCCTATTAATTATATAATTATGCTTTCTGCAATAATAATGAATTACAAAATAATTAATCCTATTATATATTTCTCATTTTTACCAATTCTCTTTCAGACTCGAATATTGAGAACATCGATATTAAAATTTCTTTTTAATKTTSAAATTATTATTATTATGTATCTCTCATTTTAATCAATTCTCGTTCAGTGTCGAATATCGAGAGTATCGATATTCCGAAACCGATCACTGCTTGTATAACTAGTGCCCAATTGAATTTCGAACAGTGATGCCATTTATAGCGTAAATATCGTGCAATATAATAATATTTTCTAATGTTATTACTGCAAAAAAAAGAACTTATAAATAGATACCGCCCCATATATATTCGTGGTAAATGTTCAGGGCAATTTCGTAAATTGGAATTAAAAACACGAATTTTAAGACATTTCCCGTAAAAATTGGTGAACGTTTTCGGAAAAGCCACTCTCCTGAACATTTACCCGAAAACCAACTTTTAAAATTCTATATTAATATATGTATAATGTCCAGTAATCAAGGAAAATCTATCAACATTATTAAAAAGAACATTTCTCGAAAGTATGAAGTTAATCCTAACTTGAAATTAAAATGTGTAAAAAATGGCACGGATCGAATCAATCATATAGAGCTGGTAAAAGAGAAAGTTAATATTTGTTCTAATGAAAGACAATATAAAACACCTCAAATGAATACTATTTTGCGTGAAGTTAATCAAATTGAAAACGTTCAGTCTTTGCGCCCACAAGTATTTAAAAAGGACATCGATTTAACACCACGATCAAAAGCTGTAATTGCTCCCAAGGTAAAAACTTCCATACATTTGAATAGTTTTAAAATTTCAAACGAAAAATTTCAGATCACTCAAAGGCTCAACTTTAACACAGACCAAGTGGTGTTTAAAAATCTTACACCAATTAATGTTAACGACACAATATTGATTCAGAAGCAGTGCAGCGCAAATCCCAATAAATACAAAAAGACTAACAAAACACCATCGCCGGATCTCTGTCATTGGCTCAATACTATACCACCGTTGAAACACGAAATACCCGAACCAGAAATTGCTTTAGAGTTTTGTGACATTGAAATCGATCCATTTGAAAGTTATCTTCAATTGATAAATTGATATTTTTTATTATTTATATATTAATAATGTACCAATATCATAATATATTTATCCAATAAAATTCATAACTACTAAATGTAGTATAACGTGGGCAAAAATAAAATCGGCAAAACCTCTTTCCGGAGAAATTCCTACAAATATCGCCTTATTTTGTGGATTCGCTTGCAGCCGCAAACAAACTCCCAGCACGAAGCAGCTTACAGTACTTATAAAGCCCGACAAGAACGAGTTGAAGGGGAATGTGCCGACTAAACAACAATACGCGAACTGAATAACGCCGGTAAGGAGTACGTATGCCAAATAGGTGTCCATCAACTTTAGTTTTCGAGGTGTATTTTCGACATAGTCGTTATAATATTTTGCAACTATGCCTTTAATTCCAGTCATTGTCTATTTTTACGTCGTTCAACACAATGTCAGCAACAAATTTATAAGACACGTAGAAATTGGGGTGTTATTAAATTAGAGATGGTAACTTTTTATCTAGCATACTGAAACGAATTTATCATGTGTGTACAATATTGACTCTAATTTTCAATAGCAATAGCTACCCCATTTCTCGTATTCATAATATATATTTCTTACTATAACTGCCCTATTCTGATAAAACCTCACAATATGTTTGTTTTGTGAGATTATTCTTGGTTAAAGCTCACAAGAAAAAAGCACAATAAACTCAACACCTTGAGGTGAGAGGCCTTTTGCTGTGAACCAGCTGTTTTACAACAACAAATAAGACAAAACCAATAAAAGTAAGTTATTTTACCCATTAATTATATTTGGAGCATATATAATAATTCAATTTATTTTTAAGATTTCAAAAAAGTGAAAAACCAACTTATGAGTAACTGCAGCAATATAACATATTATTTAAACATAAATATTTTTTATTCGAATACATACATATTTTAAAATAAAATCTTGTCTTCTCTTATTTCTACATAAATATTTATGTTTCTTTCTTAGAAAGAAGGTAAATGTACAAAGACCGTAAGTAAGTGTTTATTTTAATAGGCAAATACTTATATTTATAATAGATAACGCAATTGGAAGAATACTTCCTTCATTCAATATCAATAAAATAATTGTAAATTTTTTTAAAAATATTGAAATTAACAAAACAGACACAACCAATTTTGCATTGTGAGGTTTAGTTTCAGACATCGCAAATTTGTGAGGTAGTTATGAGCATTATAGCTTTTGAAATCACCTCAGCATACGGAAAAACTCACAAATCATAAAATCCTCACAATAGGGAGGGTGTAAAGATGAGTAATTAATCGAACAAAATCATATTAAAAAAGGGAGATGATAATTGGTGGTATTAAAATTTTAATTATTCTTTTTCTCACTGCAAATTGTAATAAATGCTTCAATAATGCCAATTCAGGAGGCAAAGGACGCAATTAACACAAAAGTGATGACAATGGTATGATAATAGGTATATAAGTATATTATACCAAGTTCAGACCGACACTTAATCACACGATTTCGGCTGTTGAATGGATTATCTCACTAATCTTAAAAATTTATTACGATTTCGCCATACAAAAATGACAGTTCCAAATCACTTCATTGGAATGCTTTGAAACTGAACCACGCTAAATCCCTCTATACGACTCTGATTTTGCGCAATCTACTTGTCAGCACTGGAAATCTGTTACATTATCATAGCTGATTTAGACACTACAAAGGGAAAAAAGGTAAACAAACAAATTTTTTTAAAGCAATGAATCTAATTTCACCTGAAAATCGACTTAACAAATGAAGAAATGCATCCATTATTTCTATTATATGGAAAATATTAAAAAAAGACGGTTTTATTTGACAATCTTTTCTTTTGATAAATATTAGGCGATGTGAATTCTTGAATGACAATAACTGCYGTTTTTTGATCTTTCTAACGGCAGTGAGAACACTGTTGGGTTATGAAATGCTTAAATGTAATCTAATCTTTTACATTTTCGGTCTGAACATGGTATAAAACAATTTCTAATTATGTAGAACTAATCACTAGTATTGCTTCTTATGATGAGATAATATTTAAGTTAATTCACAAAATTACCCTAGGACTTTCACAATCGACCCAGCATTTAGCATTTTTAAAACTATTTTTATTGTTATGATATGTCAAAATTTTTTTGGCATAATATACTAATAGATATATCTTTTTAAGTTTTTTTCTTGAGTTCCGTTCTAAAATGGGGCGAAAATGACATCATCCCCTATTTGGGTCATGATGGGTTAAAAATATATTAGATGAATGGTAGCACTGGAAATCTTTTGTGTTTATTGTGGGAGTTGCAATTAATAACAGCAATCTGCGTAAATATTCAATGCTGCTGTATTATTTTTTGCTAGGTTTTAACAAACCAGAATAAATATTTGTTTTTTCTTCGGGTGTAGATAACGTCAAACTCTGCTATTTATGTTGAATGCAGACGGTATCAAGCAGAAAATTTCCACTTTGCAACAGTATCAGTGTCAGACAGTATTTCGCATTTAGTCATCGATCTTTATTGTTTTGGTATTGTATCAAAATCGGTAATTGTAATTCGTAAATTATTGGTAATAATTGAAGAGGAAACTGGGGAACAATCTCCCATCTTGCTTCAAGGACTTTCTTTTAAATATCATTATTAACAAATAATGGAAGATATCACTCCTCTTACGAATCTTCAACAGGTTTGATAATTGACTTAATCAAAATCTTCTTTAATTTGGCTGTGTGCCTTTTTATTTGTTAATTATAATTTATGAATTTTTTATTCCAGTCGTAGGAACATAATAAATCTGTGATTATTACTTTCATATCAGTTTCGGTTACTTTAAAATCAGATGTAAGTTTTAAATACTATTTTATTTGCTACATGTTGATTTTGTCAAATCGCATTACAATAAACACTTTTATTGCGTTATAATTATCAATTACATCCTTATTTTTATATTATTTTATTTGAAATTTAAAGTGTAAGTGTAGTAATTAGGGCGTATAATTGTGACCTTATTATATTTGTTCAAATAGCACTAATCATTTTCACATGTGTTAGTTAATTATGCTTATTATGGGCACTGCAAACAAATTTATTATCTGTACGCAGCATATTGTATACATTACGTAAACTATTATCTGTAGCCTTGGTATTTGCTATCCAGTATCTGTTTGTTGTTAGTTATCACTCTGTGATATATTTAGCTATTTAATCACTTGAATAAGATAATTATCATCTCTACTTTTTTTAAATTAAAAAAAAAAAATWACTTTCCTTAACAATAATTGTTTCCTGAAAATTCACAAAATTCCAAATATACATTTACCAATAAGTTCGTTTTTAATTTGTATTATATTCCCGAGTTTGATTAAAATACATTTTTTGTTGTTCTCCTTTATCATCCTTCATATTTTCATAGCCAATAATTAAGAAGAAAATGACCGAACGTCAACCTCTTTTGCTTCAGTCGGAAAATACTGCGTCGGAAGGAAGATATCCACCCCGACCAGATGTTCGAAATTCTCCTGAAAATACATTAGTAAATGTTCAAAGTGAAGAAAGCATTGGTAGTTTACGGTTACTTAATATTATTCTTTGTTATAACATTCTTATTTCAARTAGCAGGCTCAAATGAGAGTTTAGACAAGTCCACTTATAATCCTTCTTTGCACCGGACTTTGGAGCATCCCACCTCGAATTTTGACACGTTAGTGCATTTACTAAAGGGTAACATCGGCACAGGAATTTTAGCAATGCCAGATGCTTTTAAAAACGCTGGCCTTTATGTTGGACTATTTGGTACGCTAATAATGGGAGCGATTTGCACACACTGCATGCATATGCTGGTAAAATGTTCTCATGAGCTCTGTCGAAGACTTCAACAGCCATCACTCAGCTTTTCAGAAGTAGCGTTCTGTTCATTCGAGACAGGACCCAGTGGCTTAARACGTTACTCGCACATTGCACGGTAAGGTTAGGTTTGTTTAATGTACAACCAACAATTACTTTTAATATATGCATATAATATTAAAACATCCTTATTTTAGGCGTATGATAACGACCTTCCTATTTATCACCCAAATTGGATTCTGCTGTGTATACTTTGTTTTTGTGGCATTTAATATAAAAGAGGTGGTGGACCATTATTTTCCACACAATTTTATAAATGTTAAAGTTTACTTAACACTTATTTTGCTTCCAATGATACCCCTAAATCTGGTGCGCAATCTCAAATACCTAACTCCAGTGTCATTAGCTGCAGCAGCACTTACCGTATTAGGTCTAGCATTCTCATTTTTTTATATACTACAAGATTTACCTGACACCGACACAGTAAAGCCCGTAGCATCTTGGGCTCAGCTACCATTGTATTTCGGCACAGCAATATATGCATTCGAAGGAATTGGTGTAATATTACCATTGGAAAATAATATGAAGAGACCTGAAGATTTTGGAGGCTCAACGGGTGTATTGAACACTGGAATGACTATCGTGGCATGTCTGTATACCACAGTTGGCTTCTTCGGTTATTTGAAATATGGAGAGAATGTGAAGGGCAGCATAACATTAAATTTACCCCCYGATCAATTGTAAGTTGTGAACATTTAGAATTAATATTATTGTATGCAACAAAATAAAACAATAATTAGCTATTAGGCAAAAGTATTTACTTTTACTTTACTTTATTATTAATTATATATTATTATTAAAGMCCATTCTTTTTACAGCATTTCACAGATGGTACGCATAGCTATGGCCGTAGCAATATTCTTATCATACACTTTGCAATTCTATGTACCTGTTAATATTGTTGAGCCCTTCGTTCGCAATCAATGCGAGGACCAACGCACAAAAGATTTAGCCTCGACGGCACTTCGGATTGTATTAGTTGTTTTTACATGTAAGTAATCGTATATACATTTTTTTTGGTCCGAACTGTATGATAGGGGGATTTTTAGTTTATTCTTTCTTATTCCAAAATCTTGAATATTATATAACGACATAATTTCATAGGTCCGTTCCTGGAATAGTGAAATAGTCAAACAGTTGCTTTACAGTTATACTTAAGAAACGAGACATTTCGGTTATATTTTTGCGATGAAGGCGAATGAATAGAGCGTCAGTATCAACAAATTGCATGGTTGTTTTGTTAATTTCGCGTTTGAGTGACACTGATAAATGGTTCATTAAATTAAGTTGGCCAATAAAATAGTTATAAGTATTTAAACAAATATGCGGTTATTTCGAAGTATTTTTCATATTAATTTTATAGTCCTTTAAACACCATAAACTGAAAAGAAGAAACTATTTAGAATATGTCCGTTTGATCATAGTTCATTCCTCATGGCAAAAAAGAACCATTTTGTGACTTCACGACAAATTCCAATGGAAGTTGGACTTCTACATAGGGAAGGGATAAGCTTTTGGTCACCTCGATGACAACTTACCATCTAAGCGGGGATTAGATAACCGTTACAACAGCAACAAATGTTACTATATTCGTTTGAAAATGGGGAATAATTATTTTCGATAAATGACCAACCGCCAACAGGAATGCCATATAGTTATTCTTATTTTGTTTTAAACGACAACGGGAAGAGTGCKATTAAGTTTGCTATGAAGTATAAAACATTTAGAAGAAATCTTTATTTCTGAAGGATAATGTAAAAAACCCACGCCAACAAACACAAGGAATTTTCGACGTAGAGAAGTTGCAATCACAACAGGCAGCCGAACGATTTTCAACTCGACTTGCACTCCTGCTCTCTGAGAGCACTYGTYRACAACTCGGTATAAGAGAACTGTGCGAAGGCATTTCAAACTCCTTGAATGAATGAATGAATGATAATGAGGTATGCACTGCGACCTTTGGTCTATTGTGCCCTCTCCTTCCTTACATTGCCTCACTTAGCCCCAGCCCATTGATGAAGTCCAGTAGGCTACTAGGCGCTAGCGAGGCAATGCGATCCCTATCTGGAAATGGAACTCCAAGGGCCTTGTCTCTGCGAATACAGACTGCTGTGCAGTCGATCAGCAGATGCTCCGGAGTTTCAGGCTCYCTGTCACAGAACCGGCAGTTGGCGCAAGCTGATAGGCCCATTCTGTAGAGATGCCCATTCAGCTTACAGTGGCCAGTGTACCATGCGACCAACAGCCTGAGTTTGCTCTTGGGCAGGTTAAT